ACTGGTTTAAATTTAGAATTTTTTTTGTCACGAATTTCCCAAAAACCGGGTGGGGGTTTAGATTTTATATCAAAACCCCCAAGAAAAAATGCTAACCTCTCCCCAATTACCAAACCCAGGTAGGGGTTAGCTTTTTAAATATCAAAACCCCCAAGACTTTCAAACCCCCTCTCCCATTACAATAACGGGGGGGGGGTTTTTAGCATTTTATATCAAAAAACCCCCCAAGACTCAAACCTCTCACCATTACAAAAAACAGGTGGGGGGTTACCCTTTTTATTTTTCATACCCCAAAAAACGCAAAACCTCTAAACCATTAAAATAACAGGTGGGGTTTTAACATTTATAATCCAAAAAACCCCCCAAGACTGCTAACCTCTCACCATTACATAACAGGTAGGGGGTTGGGCTTTTTATACATCCCCCCCAAGACATGAAACCCTCTCACCATTACAAAAACCGGGGGGGGGTTAGCATTTTATATCATCCCCCCCCAAGCATGTTTAACCCCTCACCATTACAATAACGGAAAGGGGTTCCCCTGTTTTCAAAACCCCCAAAGAAAATTCAAAAACCTCTCCCATTAAAATAACAGGTAGGGGTTCATTTTATATCAAAAACCCCCCAAGACATGAAACCTCCCCAATCCCTTAACAGGGGGGGGTTTAAAGAAATTTTTATTTTCTACCCCCAAAAACATGCTAAACCTCTCACCTTTACAATAAGGGGGGGTTTTTGGGCTTTTTTTTTTAGCATCCCCCCAAAAACATGTTTAACCTCTCACCATTACAATAACAGGGGGGTTTTTGCATTTTAAAATCATACCCTCAAGCCCTTGCTAACCGCCACCATTACAAAAACAGCGGGGGTTTACATTGCCCTTTGGGAAAGGTAAAATATTTTTTCCTCTGTTTTTTCCCACTCATCTTATTCACGATTAAATTCAGGTTTAAATCCGAGATCATGGAAGCACCCCACCAATTAATGTGAAGTTTTTAAAAAACATTTCTGTTTTTAAATTTACAATAAAAAACAAAAAATTTTTTAAATATTTTTTCCCCTATTGCCACAAATAACTGTGGAATATTTTTAATAAAAACATGTGAATTTTGGCCCAAATATTTTTGGGTTTTCCCTAAAATTGGGGGCCCCTTTTTAAAAAAAGGGGCGGGTAATTTCAAAACCTTCACCCGATAGGATGAAAACCCCCATTAAAGCTGACAGTCTGCATTTTTAACCTCATTGTATTTTAAAAAATAATTTAAAAACCCAAAGGGGCTGGACCCCAGAGCCAAAAAAATGTCCCAAAAAAAAAATTTCCAATGCCCCAAATACTTTAAACCTCACAGTAAATAAAAACCCATGCCTTTTCATAATGGAAAAGAAAATAAAAACCATGTCACAGAAAAAGTTCCATAATATGCAGGCCCTTTGGTTTTAGATTGGGTATTCAGAAATCCCCTTTCAGGTTTCATGTTACAAAAACGTCTCAAACATAAAATTAAACCAAGTTTCCTAAAAGACAAATTTAGCATCACAAAACTAAAAAAATTCACAATATCTGTGTGACTTTTGTAAGGGAAACATTTGGAGGGTCAAAAACTGAGTATTATGCCCCCCAGATTCACCAACATTTGGAAGATTTTATTTACAACCTTCTACAAACAAAAATCACTAGCATCACATTCCAAAAACCACCAAAACTGTTAAAACCCCCTCCCCCCTCACTGTGGTTTGTGGGCAGAAAAACTAAAGGAAACTCCCCCCTTTCCCCCCCTTCTTCATTTTCCCACCCTTCCTCTATTTGGTTTCTTCTCTTTTGGGGTTTTCCCCAGCACCTAGGAGGAGGGGGGCCTTTTCTCTTTGAAGGTCTAGGGACCCAGACTGCGGGAGCTGACTGGTAAACGGGCTGAAATGCGGGAAAAGGAAAACCCCTCCGGGCCTTTTTTGAGCCCCTCATACCCTTTCACATTGAGTACAAAACCCAGCAGGAAACCCAATTTCTGATAGCGATAAAAATTTTTTAGACAGTGAAAAACGTTTCTCTACAGTTGTTTTAGGGTTCCTCCTTCATGGTTTAAGCGGCTTTAAGGGGACCCAATTCGGGGGAAATAAATCTTCCCCCTTTTTGGGCCCCTTTCAGGGGTTTTCCCTCTTTTTCCGATTTTTGGGGGGCGAAAACTGGGGCATTTTAACAACAAAAGTGAAATTTTGGGGAGGGATTTTTGGGAATTTCGGTGGTCCCGGTTTATGGGGAAAAAAATCCAACCCCCTATTTTTCTAAACTCCATCCATTTAAAATTTTTCCCCTTAAACCAAAACCTACAAGTTGAAATTTTTTTTCCAAACGGTATGTGTCGGGTTTTTTTTTTTAATTTAATTTCCCAAAACCCTAAACGAAAACCCTCTCAAAAGGGGGAAATACGGGACAGACAACTACAATCTCTAACTGTATTTAACCCAAACTCACCTCGCTTTTAATGAAAGGGCAGACACTGAAGAACTCCGCATTCACTCTCTTCTTTTTACCAGCCCCTTCGGGGGCTTTTTTTTTTCTTTTGGTTTGGGGGTTTTTCAGAAACTTCTGGGGGGAAGGGGGGCCCTTTTCCCTTTGGAGGTCTAGGGCCAACGGGGCCAGGAGCTGACTGGTAAACGGGCTGTAATGCGGGAAAGGGACACTCCTGCCGGTTTGGTCCATACCCCTTCCAATGTGAGTAAAAGCCCCAGGAAATCACATTTTTTGACTGTGATGTACGGGGCAACGTGGAAACACTTTTCTCTACGGGTTGTTTGTATGGTTCCTCTCCCCTTGGAAAGCTCTTAAAGGGACAAACAGTTTCATGGGAAAATATCTTCTCCTCCTTGTCCTCTCTAAAATTATCCTTCAGTAGGGGGAAATCTGAAAAAAACATTTAAAAAAAACCCGATAATATCCGGGTGGTGTGAGGACTGATATAAAAAAACGGGTTGGGGAACTGAAAACCAATAGCCCCTTTATGACCCCCTTCTTTCTGAAACAAAAAAAAACTATAAAGGGGAATTTTGTTAAATTTAAATTTCCTACGAATTAAAATTTTCCCTTTCTACAAACATCTTCATTTTCATTAAAATAAACAGATAAAGACTTTCCCAGAAAAAACTATCCCACCGGGTTCAAAGAAAACCCAAATGATCTTTTTTTGGAAATTAAAAACTCACCACCTCCGGGTGGAGATGGGGGGGGCAGAAAAAGGGGGAAGGAAAACCTCCTTTTCCCTCTTTCAGGGGGAACAAGCCCTTGCTTTACGGGTTTTTTTTTTCTTCCGGGTTGGATTTTCACCATGTAGGAGGGGGGGGCCTTTTCCCTTTTGAGAGGTCTTGGCCCCAAGGGGGCAAGGACGACGGGAAACCCTGGCTGAAATCTGGAGGAAAACTCCTCCCCTGTTTTGGCCATATTCCTTCACATTTAGTACAAAACCCCCAGCGGAAAATCACTTCCTCAAAGGGATTTTTAACCATCATCATTTTTGGGTACTGCACTGGAGGATTGTCCTTTAAAAATTTTTTCCCCCTGCCCTCGTTTTAAAACTAAACTGCAGCCCCACTGATTTAGAAGAACTGACCAGGGGCCTTTTTAAATAAAAAACCCAAAAAATAAACCTTTAATAAAAACAAAAAAACATTGTTACACATTTTAGCCAGATTCTTTTTTTTAAAGTCAGGGCAAGGAACACCCCCAGAAAAATAATTTTAACAGGGCAAAAAGGTAAATAAAAAAACTAATGGGAGTAAATTTTGGGATAACATATGTTTTAAATTAAAAAAGATAAATAGCTGGTAAAAATTTAAAAACTCTCAAAAAAAAAAAAAACACTCACCTAAGGGGGGAGTAGGGCAAAACCCCCTGAAAAAACCTCCTCATTTAAACTCTCTTCATCTAAACCAGTCCTTCAGCTCACGGGTTTTCCTTCCCCGGGTTTGGGATTTTCAAAACTTCTGGGGAGGGGGGCCCTTTTTCGCTCTAAAGGGGAATGGACCAACTGCGGGACGGACTGGAAACCCGGCGGGAAATGTTTGGGGGGACCCCCCCGCCTTTTTTGAGTCTAAATAGTCCTTCACATTTAGTACAACCAGCGGGGAAATCAATCTGTTCAGAATTGTCTCCACTGAAAAAAGGAAAAGGGTGCTGAAAGTCCACACTGAGGAACCACTTCAGTGTTCCCCCTCCTGTCTGCTTTTCCCCTCTGCTGTTTGAGACAGGAATCCACCGGGAAAACTTAAATCTCCCTTTGGGGGATCAGACCTCCATGGACAGAAACTGCAACAAGGACAGTAACAGCTGATTCAGACATGGATGAACACATGAAACCAGTCATAGCTAAAGATATATGAAGTAGCTATACATTTACATAATGTGCTTTGATTATATGTAAAAGTATTTAATTTCACATTCACATTCACATGATGTATGTGTGACATTTAGTAATGCAACATTTGTTATGTCAGGAAATCAGGGGATAAATGTTACCAGATTCACCAACACTTGAAGTTTTATATTACAATGTTTCTACAAGATAATAGTCACTAGCATCACATAATCACTAACCACCACCCATGTTCAGACTCACCTCAGCTGTGAGATGTAGAGCAGACACTGAAGGAAACTCCTCACTTCACTCTCTTCATCTGACCAGCCCTTCAGCTCTACTGGTTTCTTCTCTGGTTGGAGTTTCAGCACTTCTAGGAGGAGGGAGGCCTTTCTCTCTGAGAGGTCTACGGACCAGACTGCAGGAGCTGACTGGTAAACTGGCTGTAATGCTGGAAGGACACTCCTGCCTGTTTGAGTCTCATAGTCCTTCACATGAGAGTACAGATCCAGCAGGAAATCACATTTCTGATTGTGATATACTTCAGACATTGACAACAGTTTCTCTACAGTTGTTTGTATGGTTCGTCTCTCATGGAGAGCTGCTTGAAGACACAGATTCAGTAGGAATATATTCTCTCTCTTTGTCCTCTCTTCAGGGGATCTTCTCTGATCCTGTGGTGGAGGAAAAACTGCAAGCACAGTTAAACAACAAATAGATGAATATGTGAGAGATATTTGAATTTCTGATGGTCACATTATGGTGGGTAAAATACAATGACTATATTTCTAAACTCATCATCCACTTAAATTGTTCCTTCAAATCCTGACTACAACGATTGTATATTTTCCAAACGGTATGTGTCTGTTTAGTTTATTAAGTTAATGCAGAAAGCTAAACGCATCCTCTCTAAAGGGAAAAACAGGGACAGACAACTACAAATCTCGGAACTGTACGGATCCAACTCACCTCAGCTGTGAGATGTAGGGCAGACACTGAAGGAAACTCCTCACTTCACTCTCTTCATCTGACCAGCCCTTCAGCTCTACTGGTTTCTTCTCTGGTTGGAGTTTCAGCACTTCTAGGAGGAGGGAGGCCTTTCTCTCTGAGAGGTCTACGGACCAGACTGCAGGAGCTGACTGGTAAACTGGCTGTAATGCTGGAAGGACACTCCTGCCTGTTTGAGTCTCATAGTCCTTCACATGAGAGTACAGATCCAGCAGGAAATCACATTTCTGATAGCGATATACTTTAGACAGTGAAAACAGTTCTCTACAGTTGTTTGTATGGTTCCTCTCTCATGGAGAGCTGCTTGAAGACACAGATTCAGTAGGAATATCTTCTCTCTCTTTGTCCTCTCTTCAGGGATCTTCTCTGATCCTGTGGTGGAGGAAAACTGCAAGAACAGTTAAACAACAAATAGATGAATATGTGAGAGATATTTGAATTTCTGATGGTCACATTATGGTGGGTAAAATACAATGACTATCTTTCTAAACTCATCATCCACTTAAATTGTTACTCAAAATCCTGACTACAAAGATCGCATATTTTCCAAACAGTATGTGTATGTTTAGTTTATTAAGTTACTGCAGAAAGCTACAAACTTCCTCTCTAAAGGGAAATACATGGACAGACAACTACAATCTCTGAACTGTACTGATCCAACTCACCTCAGCTGTGAGATGTAGGGCAGACACTGAAGGAAACTCCTCACTTCACTCTCTTCATCTGACCAGCCCTTCAGCTTTACTGGTTTCTTCTCTGGTTGGAGTTTCAGCACTTCTAGGAGGAGGGAGGCCTTTCTCTCTGAGAGGTCTATGGACCAGACTGCAGGAGCTGGCTGGTAAAGTGGCTGTAATGCTGGAAGGACACTCCTGCCTGTTTGAGTCTCATAGTCCTTCACATGAGAGTACAGATCCAGCAGGAAATCACATTTCTGATAGCGATATACTTTAGACAGTGAAAACAGTTTCTCTACAGTTGTTTGTATGGTTCCTCTCTCATGGATAGCTGCTTGAAGACACAGATTCAGTAGGAATATCTTCTCTCTCCTTGTCCTCTCTATATTATCCTTCAGTAGAGGAAATCTGAACAAACAGTTTAAAACACAGATGATATACAGGTGAGTGATGAGGACTGATATGAGTAACAGGGTTGGGGAACTGAAAACCAATAGCACTTTATGACTCCATCTTTCTATAACAATACAACTATGAATTGGAATTTTGTTCAATTTCAATTCCTACTGAATTAGAGTTTCAACAGCATCTTCATATATGCATGTATTAAACAGATAAAGACGATGTAAAAACAGAAATACTATCTCCACCAGTTCAATGACACATGGACTTAAATTGTTCCATAAAATCCTGACTACAAAGATTGCATATTTTCCAAACGGTATGTGTCTGTTTAGTTTATTAAGTCAATGTAGAAAGCTAAACGCATCCTCTCTAAAGGGAAATACAGGGACAGACAACTACAATCTCTGAACTGTACAGATCCAACTCACCTCAGCTGTGAGATGTAGGGCAGACACTGAAGGAAACTCTTCACTTCACTCTCTTCATCTGACCAGTCCTTCAGCTCTACTGGTTTCTTCTCTGGTTGGAGTTTCAGCACTTCTAGGAGGAGGGAGGCCTTTCTCTTTGAGAGGTCTATGGACCAGACTGCAGGAGCTGGCTGGTAAAGTGGCTTCAATGATGCAAGGACACTCCTGGCTGTTTGATTCCTATTGTACTTCACATGTGAGTACAGATCCAGCAGGAAATCACTCTCAGTTTGATACACCGAGAACAGTGACAGCAGTGTGTTCACAGCTCTCTGGAAAGTTCTTCTCTGTGATCTAGTGCTGCTTGTAGACAACAAATCTAGTAGGACTGGCTTTCTCTTCTGTCTCCAGTCTTTCAGGGATCCCTCTCTGATGTTCTAGTGGGGTAACCTGTGACCCATAAAACATAAGAATGTCTGATGTTTCAGATAGAAGCAGGGAGAATGTGACTGCTGCCCTCTTTTATAGACTGATACTGTTGTCATCATGTCTATCTTGTTGTGTTGTTGCAATGTCTTGTTTGTCTGTCTTAGCCTTTTGATAGGTTGTCATTGGAAATAAGAACAATATGTTCTCAACTGACTTAAATAAATGATAGTCACAAAGACATTGTGTAAAATTATATATTGGCTGTGGAAACACTCACCTGAGTTTGTTGATATGTGATAAACAGTCTAAAATGGTTTTGCTGAGAGCTTCACTGAGAAGAGTTTCTCTGACCCCAGTGTAGACAGAGATGAACCCTCTCTAGACTCTGCTTCATCACTTCTTCTGCTCTCTCAAACACTTGTCTTTCACCCTGGACTGGAAGGTGCAACTCATTTCCACAGAGACCAAGTAAGCTGGTGAAGTCCATCTCTGCCACACTGCTCAGCAAAGTTGTCCAGAGTTGACACAGCACTGAGGGGTCAGATGAATCACCAGAGGAGGGCCTTTAAAATAGATTAGATTATAAATTAAATTATACAGATTATTTCAAAGTAGCATGACACAGAAGTGTTTATAACTAAGTATCTGAATGGAAGAGAATATAATATATATTTTTATAAAGATCAGTTGCTTCACCCCAATTTCTCTTTCTTTGACTGGATAATTGGAAATAAACTGGTGAATTAAATAACACAAATATATAACACAAATATTACCCAAGATGTCTGACATTCATTGAAGGGTCAGATGTATCATCAGAAAACAGATTAGATCTGTAATTAAAATCTTACATTGTTTTGAAGTAGCATGAACCCAATGTTTTGTCATCTTTATAACTAACTCAGTACATGGCTGAAATACCAATGAGTGTTCCATTCATCAAGATAACTTATTTGCAGGGATTTGGGGGTGAGTTAATCAGTAGGACAAAAGTCTTGAGAAAGTTTGTTAATTTACAGAGAGATGCAACCTGATCTCAAATGGTAGACATTCAGCCATGATACAGCTGTGACAAACAAGGAATTAAAGGAGTTGCATGAATGGTTAGGTGATTACCAATCTTTCTTTAATTAGGTTAGTTTGTACACAGATAATAAACTTACCCAAGATGTCTGACATTCTTCAGAGAGCCCAGTATCAGCCTTACTCCTTGGTCTGACACAATGCAGTCTTTCAGGTCCAAGCCAACCTTTCTCTCTGCAGACTGACTGGTCACATAAGACACTGCACAGCACTGGTGAGGATCAAGATGTTCTCCACTCAGGTCTAGATGATAGTCCAGTTTGTCCAGGAGAAGGAGACAGCCTCAGTAGACTGATGTTCATACAAGCACTGACACAAAACAGAAGATCTATCTCAACTCATGAGCACCACCTTCTGCATGATCTTGGTTTGTTTGAGATGGAAGAAATGTGTTCACCACTTCCTTGAAGAACCAATCTGACGTCTTCTTGATCTGTTGATCCGGAACTAGACCATTTACCAATCTAATATTCCTCTCATTCAGAAGCCCACACAGGAAGGGAATCATGTGTTTTGTGTGTTTCCATTCTTCAGTCTGGCACTTCTCTAGAACCTCTCTGATTTGATCTGGATTCTGTAAGAGCCAAAGGGCACCAAAGAACTCCTGCATTGTGTAGTGGAGAAATGCACAGTAAGTGTCTGACGCTGTGGGTGCAACCTTAACCATAAGTGCTCCCAAGAACGCAAAATGGACACTGCTTTCTTCACAGCTCAGTGTTGTCAAGTTCATGTTTTTTGTATTTGTTGCATCAAAAGCTATTTCTGCCAAAGACAATATTTTCTCTCTGTTTTCTTTTAGATAATTGTCGATATCCTTATGTCGTATGCTACTGTGTTGTTGGATGCACTGACGGAGGACGTTGCTGTACATTTCAGTTATAGTGCATGTCTGTTTAGAAGCCTTTGAGGTAGGGAAATAAATGCAGGTAACCACCATCAGTGCATACATTGGGACATGGCACAGACTGAACAACTCTAGGTTGTTTAACACACTGCTCAAGGAGTCTGGATCAGCACTCAGCATCTCTGTTAAGTAAGCCCTGATGGATGCATCACTGAACCCTTTCACCTCCACTCTGAACCAGTCTGCGGGCCAGTCTGTCAGGAAGTCTTCAGATTGATCTGGTCTGCATGTGGTCACAATCTTTGCATCAGGGAGGAGGTTCTCCATAAGTTCCTTTACTACCGACAGCGAGGAGAGGTCTGTGATTCCATCAAATATGATGACAACGTTTTCAGAGTTCTCCTTAATATCCTGTAACACTTCTTCTTTATTTTTTTTGGGCTCACTGTACATGTTAAAGAGAAGGTCCTCCAGGCTCATGGGTTTTCTGTGTGAAATGTCTCTCACGTCAAAATAAAACATGTAATCTAGTTCTTTGTGATCTTTCTCTGCCCAGAGGTTCAACATTTGATGGGCGACTGTTGTTTTTTTCCAATTCCAGGTTTTCCAAAAAGGAGGATTTTTTTCTCATGTGTCCTAAGCAGGTCAGCAGGGGATGTTTCCTGTTTGGCCGTGGGGATGAAGCTCTTTAGCTTTTTAGGGCGAGCTTTCTTGCATCTTTTGCTCTTCACTTTAATTTTGGAGAGAGATGAATGCACATCTGTATCTAACACAAGAGGGGTGTTAGATAAAGTCCACTCATTTCTACATGTCTCTGGTAGGAGACTACAGCTTTGTTTCCATGCACTATTTGTGATTTTCAGTGCTTTACATTTTCAGCTGTGTCTGATATCCGTGACAGGGTTTTGAACCTAAAATAAGGGTATTAAGGGAAGAGAGAGTAAATGCACTGTGCAAACAAATCAAAGCCAATCTAAAGGACTAGAGAAAATCAGGACAGAAAGCTACAAGGATACACTAGTAGATCTTTGTAGATTGAAGGTGGTCTTTTGGGGCTAAATGGTCATCAAAAACAAGAAGAACCAAGGGGCACTAAAGACAAAGTTTAAATGCCTGTATTATGATGGCACGTTCAATAGAACAATATGTATAAAACCTCTGATGCTTTTCAGCGTAGCCTTCATCAGGGAGGACAATGACAAATCTCTATTGAACACGCCATCATAATAAAGGCATTTTTACTTCATGAAGAGTGCATTGGTCGCACTTATTTTTGATGAACAATCTAAAAAGGTACATTAACCCCTTTCAATGTGCGCTTCAAATAGCTTCGACAGCACCATGGAACCAAAGGAATAGTACCTAAAGTACAAACCCTGTCTATGGAGCGCGCACAGTAAGCTAATTGTATACTATATAGTGTATACTAAGAGGATACCATACGATCACTTACCAACAAGGTAGTCTGTCATCTCTGGTCTTCCTTAAAGGGGAAGCAGCTGATCCATTGCTGTAAGTCAGCGTCGTCTAAGGTCCTCTTCCTTGTGATGTATAGAATCGTCAGCAACTCATAGCATGCAGCCTCTCCTTTGGCCGAGACCCAGTCCAGTATTCTTCTGGTTTGGTCAAAACGGTCAACTTCAGCCTGAATTTTACTGACTTCCTCCTCGTGAAGAACCTTGCGCTGGAACAGGTTTTCCACAATGAGGGGAAGATTCTGGAGCCTTCCAATGAGACGTAGCCTTCCATTTGTAATGTACTCTAAAGCAGATTGTCTTGCAGAAGCCATGTCCCAGGATGTGTCTGCACATCACTGGTATGTTTTCAAACACGTAGATCTCTGGAAGACGAAAGTACATAGTCAGTTAATAGTAGAACAGTCAAATAATGATTAGGTTTATTTATTCAATTAAACTTTTTAATCCCATGTAAACAAAACATAAACCAACTAAATGGTGAATGTATCTATTACATTGGCGTAAAACAAGAATAAAAACACAGCAAAAAAAGAAACATCCCTTTTTCAGGACCCTGTCTTTCAATGATAATTCATAGAAATTCAAATAACTTCACAGATCTTAATTGTAAAGGGTTTAAACACTGTTTCCCATGGTTGTTCAATTCACCATAACAATTAATGAACATGCACCTGTGGACCGGTCGTTAAGACACTAACATCTTACAGACGTAGGCGATTAAGGTCACAGTTTTGAAAACTTAGGGCACTAAGAGGCCTTTTCTACTGACTCTGAAAAACACCAAAAGAAAGATGCCCAGGGTCCCTGCTCATCTGAGTGAACGTGCCTTAGGCATGCTGCAAGGAGGCATGAGGACTGCAGATCTGGCCAGGGCAATAAATTGCAATGTCCGTACTGTGAGACGCCTAAGACAGCGCTACAGGGAGACAGGACGGAAAGCTGATCGTCCTCCGCAGTGGCAGACCACGTGTAACAACACCTGCACAGGATCGGTACATCCAAACATCACAACTGCAAGACAGGTACAGGATGGCAACAACAACTGCCCGAGTTACACCAGGAACGCACAATCCCTCCATCAGTGCTCAGACTGTCCGCAATAGGCTGAGAGAGGCTGGACTGAGGGCTTGTAGGCCTGTTGTAAGGCAGGTCCTCACCAGACATCACCGGCAACAACGTCGCCTATGGGCACAAACCCACCGTCGCTGGACCAGACAGGACTGGCAAAAAGTGCTCTTCACTGACGAGTCGCGGTTTTGTCTCACCTGGGGTGATAGTCGGATTCGCGTTTATCCTGGAAGGAATGAGCGTTATACCGAGGCCTGTACTCTGGAGCGGGATCAATTTGGAGGTGGAGGGTCAGTCATGGTCTGGGGCGGTGTGTCACAGCATCATCGGACTGAGCTTGTTGTCATTGCAGGCAATCTCAACGCTGTGCGTTACAGGGAAGACATCCTCCTCCCTCATGTGGTACCCTTCCTTCAGGCTCATCCTGACATGACCCTCCAGCATGACAATGCCACCAGCCATACTGCTCGTTCTGTGCGTGATTTTCCACAGCATCATCGGACTGAGCTTGTTGTCATTGTTACTTTTTTTTAATTTTGCCCCACTATGGCCAAGACCAAAGAGCTGGTCAAAGGACACCAGAAACAAAATTGTAGACCTGCACCAGGCTGGGAAGACTGAATCTGCAATAGGTAAGGGCAGCTTGGTTTGAAGAAATCAACTGTCCACTGATAATCTCCCTCGATCTGGGCTCCACGCAAGATCTCACCCCTTGGGGTCAAAATATCACAAGAACGGTGAGCAAAAATCCCAGAACCACACGGGGGCCCTAGTGAATGACCTGCAGAGAGCTGGGACCAAAGTATCAAAGCCTACCATCAGTAACACACTACGCCGCCAGGGACTCAAATCCTGCAGTGCCAGACGTGTCCCCCTGCTTAAGCCAGTACATGTCCAGCCCGTCTGAAGTTTGCTAGAGTGTCATTTGGATGACATTTGGATGTCATATGGTCAGATGAAACCAAATAGAAATTTTGGTAAAAACTCAACTCGTCGTGTTTTGGGGGACAAAGAATCTGATTTTCATCCCAAAAAAACACCATACCCAATGTGAAGCATTTTGGGGTGGAAAAATCATCCCCCGGGGGGTTTTTTTTTTGCAAAGGGGTCAGGGGACTGATCTGTGTAAAGGAAAAAATGAATGGGGCCATGGTTTTTTGAGATTTTGAGTGAAAACCCCATTCCATCCCCAAAGGGGATTGAAAATGAAAAAGTGGCTGGGGCTTTTCAGCGTGACAATGATCCCCAAAAACAAAACCCCCCCCCGGGGAACAAGGAGTTGGGTTTTTGTAAGAACATTTCCCCGGTCCTGGAGTGGCCTAGCCGTCTCCCAAACTCAACCCCATAAAAATCTTTGGAGGGGTTGAAATCCGTGGGGGTTTCCCCCGCAACCCCAAAAACAAAACACTGCTCTTGAAACTTTTCAGAAAAAGTTTTAAACCTTTGTCATTGCCAAAAAAGGGTAATAAAAAGTATTTAGAACTTTTGTTATGACCAAATAAATTATTTTTTCCCCCATAATTTGGGAAATAAAATTTTTAAAATCCTGCAATGTTTATTTTCCCGGAGAAAAAAGTTCTCATTTTTGTCTTTCATAAATTGACGTTTAAACCCATGATTTAAAAAAAAGGCCCCTCTCATCTTTTTAAGTGGGGGAACTTGGGACAAAAAGGTGGGGTGACAAAAACTTTTTTTTTTTCCCCCCTGTAAAGTACCCTTTTAATTGGCAAACTGAAGAATTCCCCCAAAATTTTTTTTGGGGCCCCATTTTTATACCTTGCTTCCTCCTCCGACTCCCCATCTTCTCAGGGTTTTCCACAAAGTTCCCCTGAAAGTCTTGGAATAGCAGAGAACCCCGTCCCCCCTTTTGGAGAACAGCAGGCGTCCCTTTTGATCCTTCAAGTTTAGTTTCCCGCTTAAAGGTTTGGAATGCAGCCCGGGTACTCCCTCTTCCTTTGATATTAATTGATTTTGATATTCTTCCGTGGGAAAAAACTCCCGATTCTTCGTACACATTCTTCTGACTATTTTCTGTTCTCTTCCTGTAGATTTTTCTAAAAACAACCGGTGGGACCATTTTTTTTCCGGAACCCCCAAATGGGGGTGAGACCCCTTTTCTCTGGTCACCATGGTTAAGCTTTGGGGGAGCGGGAAACCATCACTAGACTGTCTCACATGCTTCTTCTGACCGTCAGGTTTCTGTGTGACAGTCCCAGTCATCCATCACTCTACCCCAAACCCCGGGCCCGTTCTCTGAGAGAGAATATGTCAAAGTTGTTTTGGAATTTTTGAATTGGAAAATTTTTCCACCTTTGAGGGTCCAAAGGGGCCCCTCCCCCCAGGCATGGAGACCTTCTGGGCAAAGGCTGTTTCCCCGGGTGGCTCGAACCCCCCCTTGTTCCTCCCCCGGGCCCGGCCGATTCACATTTCTATCATATTAGTGTCTCCCTTCTCATAGGTTTTTTATATGGACAACATCATATTGCTCTCTTCTTTTCATAGGGCTATTTAAAGGACAAAAATCATATTAGTGGCTCCCTTCTCAAGGTCTTTTTATGGCAACATCAAAATTTTGTGTCCCCCTTTTTCTCATTGGGTTTTATTTTATGGACAAAACATATTTGTGTCTCCCTTTTCATAGGGCCCATTTTTGGGCAACATCATATTTGTGTCTCCCCCTTCCCCATACAGGGGAAAAAAAGTATTTTATCCCTGCTGATTTTTTACGTTTTGGGGGGCCCCCTGACAAAAAAATTTTTAGTCTATAATTTTTTTGGTAGGGTTTTTTTTTTAACAGGAGAGACGAAAAAAAAAACAAAGAAAAAACCCGAAAAACACATGTCAATGTTATAAAATTGATTGCATTTTCATGAGGGAAATAAGTATTTGACCCCCTCTCAATCAGAAAGATTCTGGCTCCCAGGTGTCTTTTATACAGGTAACAAGCTGAGATTAGGGCACACTCTTAAAGGGAGT